TCCATGTATCCATCCATGCATCCATCCATGCATCCATCCATGCATCCATCCATGCATCCATCCGTGCATCCATCCATGCATCCATGCATCCATCCATGCATCCATGCATCCATCCTTCCATGCATCCATCCATCCATCCATGCATCCATTCATCCATCCGTGCATCCATCCATGTATCCATCCATCCATCCATCAATGAATCAATTAATCAATCAAGCAGGCAGGCAGCTGACCAGGAAGTTAGGAAGTGTTTCAATTAGTCAGTCCGTCAGTCAGTCAGTCAGTCAGTCGAGCAAGGAAGTAAGCAGGCAAATAATTATAAGTAGCTAATCGAGCAATGAACTGTTCATTATTTACCATGACCCCTTAATATTCGAACATTTTGAATTTAGGCTCACTTAGGATTTTTGTAACTGATTACAAACAATAAAACAAAAAGAAAAGAAAAAAAAACATATTATTCCTTGATCACAGGGGCCCACCCTCTGCCATCTGCTACTCTCCGAACGTAAAGTCGTTCACATGGCACCTACTAACTTGGTTGTTGTTGTTGTTTTTCTTTTTTTCTCATACACTGTAAGCATTGTTATTCTCTTTAAAAAATTCTAAGTGTGTTGTACATGAAAATACAACAACAAAGAATTTCTATATCTTTACAGCATTGACAGCTTGACGATTGCCAACGACACAAATCATGTGTTTGGCAAGTACTGTGGCGAGCAGAGCGGGAAAACACTTCTAGTAACTGGTCTCTACGCAGTCCTCACATTCCACACAGACCCTACTGTGACAGCCACAGGATTTCTGTTAGTTTTTAATCCCGTTCCATTTGGTAAGTAAACTCAGAATTTTTCCGAGCGTTAAAACAAGCAGGGGCCTGGGGACAAATTGTTACACTAATATATATTGATTTAAGTTATGTCTATCTACCTGCACCTTTCCTCGGGTCTGTTGTATGCATTTAATTTTAACCCGGCCTGCATAATGCAGTCCGCAGTGTGCTTTGTACATTGACAAGCTTCAAAATGCTTCGAATGTTTTATCTAATGGTAAACAGCATATTTGATAAAAAAAAAAGAAAAACGCTCTTGACTTGTGTTTTCAAAGTCTAAGCCATTTTTTACCTGAGTATAGTCTTATCCCTTTATGCAAATGAATTTATTTTGAATCGATATTGCCATCATATGCATGTATAGAACGATACTTTACTAATCCTTGGGATTGTTAAGGGGTGAACCTAAATGTTGCGTTGTCAGGAAAGTTGTGAACTTCTACCTTTCCTGATAGGGCAACCACCCCGCACCTCAGCTTCCTCTCCCCGCTCCCTACCACCACCACCACCACCACCACCACCACCACCACCACTAGACTCATAACGACGCATCTTCACCTGGAGTTTTACCTTCCCTATGAAATAAAATTTTGTTTTACGTAAGTGACTTTTGTGCTATTTCAGAGTATGGACGTGACTGTTTAGATGTGCTTCATAAAGGGAACACTGAAGATGGTGTGTATGGCATCAACCCAGATGGAAATGACGTCATTTCCGTGTTTTGTGACCAGCAAACCAATGGAGGCGGCTGGATCGTCCTGCAACGGAGATTAGACGGCTCTGTGGACTTCTACCGCGACTGGAATAGTTACAAAAGAGGCTTTGGAGACTTAGCGTCAGAGTTTTGGCTGGGAAATGACAACATCCATAAAATTACCGCAAAAGATTCGCAACTCTTGATAGAACTTACGGACTTTGATAATCTAACAGCGCATGCGTCCTATGACTTTTTTCATGTGGCAACAGAAACCGAAAAGTATGTAGTGCAACTTGCAGGTTTCTCTGGAACAGCAGGAGATTCCATGTCTTATCACAACGGGATGATGTTTAGCACAAAGGAACAAGATAACGACTTCCACGGAAGTGAATTCTGTGCACAGCGATTTACAGCAGCGTGGTGGTACAACAAGTGTCACTATTCACATTTAAATGGCCAATATGGTGATAGTGCTCATGGCAAGGGTATCAACTGGAAAACGTGGAGGGGACATGAATATTCTCTCAAGGAATCCGTGATGAAAGTAAAGCCACTTCGAGGTAAAGAGTAGAGGGTACTGCATGGTACATGGGAGGCGCAGTGGCCTTATGGTCAGTGCGCTGCTGGACGACGGATTGAGCGGTCCGGGTTCAAGCACTGGCCAGGGACATTGTGTTGTGTTCTTGGAAAAGACGCTTTTCTCTCACAGCGCCTCTCTTCGCCAAGGAGAATGAATAGGAACCAGTGCATTGTTAGTTGGGCCAACCTGATAGGCTAGAATGCTGGTACTAACCTGCGATGGACTAAGCGTCTCATTCCGCGGGGGAGTAAACTAACAAAACTCCTAGCCGCTTGATGCTACTGAAATCGGGGTAAAGTAATGAAAGCTACCAGACAACTGGGCTTACAATGAATACGAAGTTTATAATTTACAATAGTGAACATTTTTGAAATTTAATGTTTGAAGATTAAGTTCGGGGATGCAAAATGAGCCACCCTCCTCTCACTATTTATTTCCAAAAACTCATAAAAATGTGATTTTCATTATTGATTTCTATAATTCTTAAGTGATGTAAAGACATTAAGTTTGAAAAAGTAGTTCAATATATATAAATTACCTTAGCGATACTGAGAGCCTTGATAATTGCTCAGCTCTCCCTCATTTTGGTAGTTACCTTTCCTAATATTGAAATCTATTTTTGTCCGAAGAACGTGACTGGTCTTATGAGCTGATTTTCAGTGGTGAGTCATTTGACGTCATACTCCTTCCTCGAATAACTGACCTCAAGGACTTTACAGCTTGCTGGTGGCTTAAGACGGAATTACCAACAGGGTGGTCAACAATTTTCTCATTTCAGAATAATGAAAATGAAAGTCTGGTAAGCTTTTCCTTCCACGAAAACGGGAGCTACTCATTTCACATACACAATGATCAAAGGTAAGTGATTAAATGCGATTATAAATCACTTCGTTTAAGTATCATAGTATTAAGCACCTCTGCGCTGGTTGGGGCACAATACATTGAGAAAAGGAGTATTAAGGTATTAAGGTATTTAGACTACTGGGGGCTCTAACTATTTGACCTCATTCACACACCCTGACTTATAAGTGATAAACTTGGGTATCATCCACCCAGGGGCTAAAA